ACTAACCTACTCTTTCAAAATCATTTAGATGAAAAAAAGTAATAAAATCCCAAAATATTAAAAGATAAGCAAAATCTAGGTTAGGGATAAGGTGACGATGCTGTGGTTATACTGGCATACCTCCTCCCGTTTTTAAGCAACCGCGTTTTGTAAGTGATGTAAGATTTCTAAATGAGACCATTCAAGTAAACTTTTAAAATAAGGCCACTTTTAATTTAATGGCCTATTGAAATTTTACATAAGAAACATTTTCAGATGTTTTAGAAAGGCACTAAAATCTTTTTTCATCCCACAGGACTTCTGTTTACTGGTTCCTCCAGTGAGAAACCGCAGTCTCCTTACAAAACACAAGCAATGAATGGGTAGCAAATCTTGAAGCCAAACAGCTGCAGAGCGGTGGCACAGGCCCTCACTGTAGTAACCCAAAATACTGAATATGTCCTCTGTGAAAGGAAATACTTGAAATTGTGGCTAATGTTGTCCACCTCCAGAGAATAAGGCAGACTCCCAGATTACATACCAGTCAAACTTTGCTGGTGCAGGATGACCAACTCTTGGAAAGATTTGTGTAGGGAGAAACAACATGCATCACGGAAACCTTTTTCTAGGATTCTTCCCAGGGTCTTTTCCCAGCCAGGCTTCTGCTACTTCTGATACTGTGTCACCAATTTGCAGAACTTCATCAGGAACCTTGCAAAGTTCAGTATTTTCCTTTAAGCCTCAGCTGATGGAGACCAATGATCACAGGAAGATTTCAGCTTCCATTTAAAAAGGAGCATGTTTCTTCCCCTCATGTCTCTGAGAAACATTCATTGCACTAAAAAGCAGAAAAGGAACAATCTGAGATACCAGAGGGAGCAGAATTGCTCCCCAAAACAACTTCATTTAGGACCAAAACTAGAAGCAGAGCTTTCCGAACACTGGCAAAAAACTTCTTTGGGTCTGACAGGCAGCCTTTACTGGACAGTCAGGACAGCACCCAGAATATGATGCCCATCATTATGAATAAACAGACACTTGGAGTTTGCATTTACCCAGCTTAAAATTGCTGCTGCATTACAAAAGAAAGCAGTGTATATTTATGTTTCCTAGGACTAGGAGTTAGAAACTCCCTTGCAGGAGCAAAGGGCTGAGCTCCAACCACCTGTTTTAGCTGAGAAGCACAACCGAGATCAAACACAGCATGACGTGGAGGAGCTGACGCAGCAGCAGCTACCAGATCAAAAGCTGTTCACTTCTCAGAACTGGAGACAGCTTGAGGACATACTGTCAGTTTTAGTGAGCTTTGGTGAAAAGAGATTCCAGTACTATGTCTGGCACTAGGATCCAAAGAATTACCCAAAGCAACCTCCCTTACATGCAGAAGTGACAGTAAAAGGGCGAGGCTCAGCATTAGCTCCCTAGAACACAAATGAGAATTTTGCACTCTTAGCTCTTGTTCAGGATTGAATGGGACAAAAGGTAAGAGAACAAACCCTCATTTTGCTGAAAGATCTTATGGCTTATGGTGGGATCTTCTGACTGGTACTTGTCTCACTTCTTGTGCGGTGATTTACTTGCTGAGGGAACTCAAAAGGGAGGCAGGGTCAAAAAAAAAAACAAAAACAAAACCAAAAACCCTCATAAGCTCCATCTGTCTTATTTTAAAACATCCCCAATTCTTTGTAGAGACATACTACAGGGATTAATTTTAAACAGGACATTTTTCAAAAAGAAATCTGAATGTTAGCTAACTTTTACTTTGCATTACAGTATACAACACTCTAAATTGAACCTAAAGTTGTGTAAGTCAAAGTATTTTGAGGACATAAAAATTCTGAATGGAGATACTCAACTTACACATACTTCTCAGTCTCAAGACTTCAGCCTACCTTATTTTGTGTAAATTTTTCTTAATCTTTATATTTCTTTCTCAGTGGGCATTCTTCCTAAAATACTGGGTCCAAAATTGAAATAAAACAAACAAAATATTGTTCATCATTTCAGGCGGGCTGGATCTTCAGCAATAGTAAATTATGTAATTTATTCGCTCCACTGGAGTTAAAATGCATTTCAGCACCCTTCCTCTGTGTATATTGTCAACATTTTCAAGGCTTTAGCATCACTACTAGAGGCTAAATAAGATTTTCTTCTTCTAAACAAAAAAAAAAAGTTTTCATTTACAATTCTCAGATATTACCTAATTAAACAATGAAGTTAATAGGCTAGATCATCTGTTCTGATCTCTTCCTTTTCAAATGTGTAAGCAGAAACATGTTACTTGTACCAGGATGGGTATCTCTGCAAGGACCTCCTCCCAAAAAGCCAAGAAGGCAACAAAGCTGATTTCTACTCGGCTGGGGGGGTGGGGGGGGAGGAGGGCGCTTTATTTTACAAAAACAGGGCAGGCAACCTGAAGTGTAATGTCCTCCAGCATTCTCACCCGGCCCCCTACAAAACCACCCCTTCAGTTGTTTCCTGCCTGACTTTTCTGACAGTGCAAGTAATCTGGCCAAAAGGGTTTGCCTTGTCCAAAGCATCCCCTTAAAAAAAAAAACAAAAAAACAAAAAAACCAAACCACACAACACACTCCAACTTGCAAAATTTGTCCTCCCTCAAAATGTTTTTATCTTATTTATCGTTTGTCCTTGTCTTGCATAATCACAGAATATTTAAACTTCAGCAAGCCTTTCTACAGAGAGAAGTACATGAGCGTTTCTACTGTAAACAAATACAGTGGCAGACAGGTTACTGGTAGAAGGGCTTTTCATTGCTTCATAAAAGAAAAAATTGCCACCCTTAAACCAAGGCTTTGAAAATACCCAGCTGTGCGCCGCTCCCTTCTGCTAAAAGTTGCACACCTCCTAGCAATAGCAGCTAAAAAAAAAAAAAAACACACCCACAAAACCTGTTCATCTTCCAGTCACCTGAGATCACAGTCTGCTCAATTAGCACAAGCTGCTCGTTAAGTGGATTTTCACTAATACACCAGGAAGTGAACTGAAACAGCTGAGATAGTCTCATTTTTGCTGTTCTCAACAAGATGCTGCTGTAAGTAATAGCCTATGCTGACTAGTAGCAATCCTGCTCATACATGTTTGTGTTTAAAATATTGACAATGTGCAACTAAAACACATATTCTTCCTCAGGAAAATGTTAATTGAAACTTACCTTTAGAGAGGCTCATCCATCAGAAGTCCTTGTTGTATCTTTTAACAAAAAAAACTCTTCATATTATAAATCATTAGTTAAAAACAGAGGATTCAAGATTTTGTTACTGTACGGTTATGGAAATCTATGATCATTTTACTGTCTGTTGTCCTTTCCTCTAAAAGTGATAAAGACATGAAACCTCCCTTCTGCGTAACATCAGGGCTGTAACCCAAAAGTTTTGTTTCGTGCTTTACTTTGGAAACGCTTATAGCTACGCTGGCGTAAGGGTCTCCTCTGCAGACCCCAGTATAACCCCCATGCTATATAAATGTTTGTCATCTGCAGCAGCATAAATCCCACATTACACTGTGGCTTATGTTGGAGATAATTATAGATATAGCTGAACTAGTTCAGAAATTGTTTATTCAGCTAAACGCTAATCGCTTTCACAGCACAAATTTCATATAATTCTACCTCCCAGATCCCTTTATGTTAAGCACCTGTGCACCCAGGCACACATCATCTCACTACTTGGTAATGCAGGCATAAAGTAGTAAACCTGACAGTATGCCAATACTGTTGTACAGAGCAATAACTGACAAATACATTACCAAATAACATGGCAAGGGGAATTTACTCAGACACAAAATAAATAGGACAGAAATTTGTCTAGGACAGCCTGTTAATAGATCTGACCATCATATGCCGTTACTGATCCATAAAGAGTTCAAAGGAGCGCAAGAAATTAAACACCAACACCATACCTTGATCATCTGTTCCTTGGAAATACTCTCACTGAAAAACCCATCTGTTCATGCTTTAATTTACACACTGAGAAGACTGGACTGCAAAATTACATGGTTACAAACAATATATGAGTTTTCCTTTTTTTGGTAGTCTTTTTTAAAAATCTGTGATTATTTCCTTCTAATAGACCTGGTAAAAATAAATGAAATAACCTCTTAGGGGTTTTCAGGATAAAAAAATTGGGGGAGAAGAACAAACAGAGCTCATACGCATAGGCACATTTTTATTCTCGTGTGCAGATCTGAGAAAGGAGAAGCTCAGAAAGGATGATCATGATCTCAAGACAAAATTCAGACTAGAATAAATAAGAAGGATACCACTGAATCATTCAAGTGCAATGACAAGTTTAAGAAGGCACCTGCTAATCAGGAGACAACTCGGATTCAGGAGAAATGTCTGCTTCCTGTATGGAATATAGGAAAAATAACAAAAAGTCAGTGCTGTGTACAAAATTAAAAGACTTAGCAAACATGTAAAAAGTAATGCTGAGTTTTTAAAAGAAAAATTCAAAAGGAATTCCACTTGCAACATTTTAACCCTGGAGCAACATTAGGTACATCATTACTTCAAATCAAGCCAAGTTTTGAACCTGGACCAAGATCGTGTTCTCCTTCCTAACCGTAACTACCAGAGGCATGAACCAACAGCTTATTTTGTTTGCAAAACAAGTTACAGGAAATAGATTGAAACTGATTCTCAGGGAAAAAAAAAAAAAAAAAAAACTATACAACAGTAGTAAAACATTGACCTGA